TATTATCTTTAATATCCGAGTTGTGTTTTAAAAGGAAAAATAATTTACAAATAGATTTTAATCAGAATTCAATTATACATAATAATAAGTATCATTTTCTATTAGATATATAGTTAATATTAATTGATTATGCAAACAAAAGGATACATCATTAATAAAAGAGGACCCTTAAAATAAAGTGTTATTATCATTTAATTAAGCAGCATCATATAAAATATCTAATTAACCATTTTTAATTAACAATATTTTCCAATTAGAACATTGATAAAATACAACAATATATTAATTTTCATTCCATTTCATCTATTTTATTTCACAACTATCTTATATTTGATCTTGAAAATCATGTTTCAAAATTAAAGTAACTTTCCTTTTTGATAAATGTATGGTATATTATGTTAGAGTAAATTAATTTAAACAAAATAAATTTAAGTTTCCATCTTCATTTGTATCCATTTCATCACAGAATTCAGTACCTACAATGTTTGTATCAAATCTAAACTTCTCACTAAAATTAATTTATTCCTCTTATTAAACTAACTCAAGACTGATACAAACAATAGAATATTCAAGTTTACGAATTAAGGAACATAATAACTTTTCTTGTATTTTCTTTTTTTCATCAAAAGAATCTATCATTATTATTACAATTGGTTATTCTTAAAAAGGAATTATGAAAGAAGGTTTGATAATTTAAGTATTAATGTGTTAGAGTTTTTCATAATCTTCTTCATCTCCTTCTAAAATATAACAACTTTAAATGTATTCATAGCAAGTTACAAAAGGTTGAATTATTAAATCTTTACATGTTGTATTAGAAGAATTGACATTCAAAATAAGGTACCCTAAAATAATAAATAAAATCTCCATATTAAAGAAATAATTAAAATAAATTATAAATTATTTAGAGGAAATTTAACCAATCTTAACAAAGTTCTCAAATAACTAAATTATACAATAAGAAGTATTGTATTGAGTAAAAACCAATCAGGAATTAATGTAATTAATAATAAATAAATTTGAAAACAGATTAAAATATATGTCTTTCCTTTTGAAGATTTCAATCTTACAACATAATCATAATTAGAATAGTTATTTTATTTTAGTGTATGTTATTTTCATAAAACAATTATTATTTGATTGAGCAATATAATTCATTATAATTTAGATAATTAATATTTAAAATAACTATGATTGCAATTAAAATTACATTTGTTATGAAATGTTAATTTATCAAAGTTTAAATTTTCAAAAGCTAATCAGAAATATCATAAAAATATATTAAATTTTATAATTAATCATAAGATCATTCTTTTTATTGCTCATAGGTTAATTTTCTAAATTAGATGATACCAGACTTACAATCCCAAGTTACTAAATATTCTCCATTGTTGCTAATTGTCCCAAAAATATTTCCAAAATTTCCTAATTGATTAAATTCTATTTCTTCTTCTAATTTACAATTCCAACCTTCAGAATTGAAGTTGAATTTTATTAAATTTACAAAATACCCATTTTTAGAGACTAGAAGTTGTTTAGAGGCAATGTATACTTAAGGGAAAAAATACTAACAACCTTGCCCCCCATCAGAAACTGCAAGTTCTCTTGATTTTATGTATAGTCCAGTTGTAAGATCGAATGTATATAAATATAAATGAGTTCCATTGTAAGGCTAAAAAGAAAAAATGTCTGTTGTGATAAAAGATATACGATATCCATTCCCTGAAATCTTTTGTTTAACATACCAAATTTTATCAGAAGATCTTTCAATAATCAAAATTTATTTATCTCTACCACAAGAAATCAATTTACTACACTCTTGATTTATGGATAACCCACTTACTTAATCTAAGTGTTCACTGATTGTTTATGTACAAGTCCAACATGAGGATGATGAAAATGTCCAAAATTTAATATTCTTGTCTACAGATCCACTAATAAAAAGGTTTTCTTAATTTGTATTCACAACTAAACATGAAATTAAATGAGTATGTCCTTTCAGTTTTGTTATATGTTTTAGATTTGATAGCAGGTTCAATGGTTAAATTATAATAGATGAATCATAAGAGCCAGAAATTAATTATAAACTATCTTTAAAGAAATTGAGAGTAGATATTGCACTCTAATGCTTTTTTACCTAAAGTAAATATTTAAATTTTTCATTTTTTTTAAATATTACTTTGCAAGCTGATTTGGATCCCAATGCTATTAAAGTGTTATTATGGTTTATAGCTTGAGCAAAACAATGATAAGGATATTTCTAAATAATTGAATAGAACAATGTATGGTTTAAGCATTTTTATGGGTTATTTTCCTATATTTAGGTATTTTCTGTATTTTGGATAATCATATGATTAAAATGAATAAAATTATTAATAATGAGAGATTCAGATAAGACAATTTATCAAGTCTCTAAATTCATTATTAACATTAACTTTTAGATCGATCAATCTATTCCATATTTTTATTAAATGTATAAATTTTATATTAATTATTGATACAATATAGTATAATAATAATTAAAACAATACATTTAGTTTAATTGTCCTAAAGTCTTATATTTAAATTAGTAATTAGATATAATAATTGAAATCAATGGGGGATGGAATATA